TCTGGAATGAATCTGGACTGTTAAGCATGCTGTAGTTAGGTAAAAGTAATGCAAAAGGAGAAGAAGTAAAGGATTCTCAGATTTCTGGGCTTGTAACATAGTTCTATTCAACAAGCTAAAGAATGGAACATAGCGGGGCATGGTGTATACACCTTTAATCCCAGTACTCAAAAAACAAATAAAATGGAACATAGGAGGGAAACAATTTAGCAGTGACCAAAGACATGTTCTCTACTGCTTCTAGACCTTTTTTCTGTACTCACATACTAAAAAAAAAATCCTTCCTTTTTGAGACTTAGAACACTGCAGACCCTCCTCTCTCCATATTCTACTTTTGCCAAATTCCAGGGCACTCAGTGTTTACATGAATTTCGGCTCCTGAAATAGTCCGTCAGTCCTCTCCACCCAGTATCTTCATCATCTTTAAGAATCTTTAGGCATTCATGATTCATGGAGGTACTGCATCCACCCTCCCAGTTCATTGACTTCCTCTACTCATGGGCATGTCTTGAAATTATATCTGTAAATTCCCTCAGTATTTCCTCCAAACTCACTGCCTTTTATTCACTTCTAGCATGGACCAGAGATAAAATAACAAGTCCTACCTAAGTCGAAGACATTCTTGTCAATTCTGTAGATTAGTAATCAGTGAAGAGTGAAGAGTTTGAGAAGTCAGGGAGTAGACCATGCATACAATTTTCTCTCCTGCCAAAATCTAGGCTAGGTTTTTAAAGCTTATTACTGGAAACCACGTTTTAATATGGGGATATTTAACCACAACATATTTTTCTTCCATGTATTCATGTTCCTCCCTAATCCCCTAACCATATAGATCATATTTTCTCTTAATTTCCCCTTCTGGAGTTTTCAAAGATCCCATCATCCATCCAGTTCCTACCCAATCTATCCTCAAAACAAGCAAGCCTATAGTGGTGAGACCAAGCTAGAATACACAGAAGTTGCAGTTCCAGAATCCAACCATTCCATAAGATAAATATGCCATAGTCTAGGAAGCATGTGAGAATTTAGGGGCTCATCTTTTATTTAAGACTTTTACCATTAATAGATCCCCTAAGGCAATGCTATAACTTGTTTTTGTTGTTGTTGTTGTTGTTGTTGTTGTTGTTGTTTTGGTCTTTTTTGAGATAGGGTTTCCCTGTAGCCCCAGCTATCCTGGAACTCCTATGTAGACCAAGCTGGCCATAAACTCACAGAGATCCATCTGCCTCTGCCTCGTGAGTGCTGGGATTAAAGGTTTATGACACCATGCCTGACTAACTTTACTTTTAAACAAATAATTTATAAAGAAATTAAAAGAATATAGCCAACAGAAATAGTCTTGATTTTCCCAGATATTTGTTACTTCTGGTGTTCTTCATTCTTTCCTAAGCACCAGAGTTTCCATTTGATAATTCCCTTTATCCTAAATAACTTCCTTTAGTGTTTATAATACAGGTCTGTTTTCCACAAATTCTTGTATTTTATATGAAAATGTTATTTTATGTTCACATTTTTAAGATTTATTTTCAATTATGCATATATGTATTTGGGAGGGGGTATGTGCATTTGAATCCCCACAGAGACCACAGGAGCTGCATCCCTCTGAAGCTGGAGTTATAGGCAGCCATCTGATATAGGTGCTGGAAACTGAACTTGGGTCCTCTGAAAGGGCAGTGTGGGCTCTTAACCACTGAGCAATCTATCCAGCCCTACTTTCATATTTGAATGTTATTTCCAATGGATGTAAAATTCTGAGTTAGGGTCAGCAAGATGGCTCAGTGGGCAAGGCACCTGCTGCTAAGCCTGATGACTTGAGTTAGATTTCCAGGCCCTATATGATGGAAGGAGAAAACCAACTCCCACAAATTGTCCTGTGACTTCTACACATGCACCATGGCATGAGCCTGCCCACATATAATAAATGCATGCAAAATAAATAAATTAAAATGTACTAAAAATTCTGACTTAATGGGGTCTTTTTCTTTCAACATTTTAATGATATTTTTCAATTCTCTTTTAGCCTCATGGTTTCTATTGAGAAGTCAGATTTTGATCAAATAGCTTTATTATATTTATATATTATTATTTTCATTTTTTTCTTGTTGCTTTCAAGATCT